TCGATTATTCGAGGAATTTTTTTTTTGACCATTCTTGCTATAAAAAGAAACAAAAACTAGATGCCGTCATCAGACAGAAATATCCGTTTGCCTTTAAATACACACTCCTTTCGTATTGGGCTTTCAATGGAAAAAATCAAAATATTTCTATAATTATCACTGTAAATGTATTCGTCAAATTGAGCATAAAATTTGCAGTTGACCATGTGATCTATGAGCCTCATATATGTATTTTGTATACTTAATTCATTACCAATCTGGAATAAAAGAATTTAATTAATGAAGTAAATTACTGAATTACTGAGTAGATGCTGATAAATATTATCCCATAATTGGATCTTTTTAAATTTACTTTCTCAAGAACATAAAATATTTTTTAAAGTACAGTGTTTTTGATGAATCTATTAAAATGTGCAAACTGTTTTTTAGTATTTAGTCAAGCAAAAAAAAAAAAAAAAAAAAAAAAAAAAACCAATTAATTTGTCAATCCCCCCCACCCCACACTCCAGACTTCTTTCTTTTTTGAAATAGGCCTAGATAGCAAAGCTATGCTAAAACATCGTTTATCATGATAGTTTGAAAATTGTACTTGTACTAGTAACACCTTATTGAAAATATCTACATTCACATTGGGTTTGTGTCACCCATTATCAAATTTTTTTTAGACATCACCACTCGCCACACCTCGGCCGATTCGAACTTCATCTAATGAAGGCAACGGATTCAGCAAAGGTTTGCCGAATGATAATTAGCACATGTATGCTGACAGTGCAGTTAAATCATTTGTGTTTTAATTAGATTATATGACTTATATTTTATAAAGTTGACAGGACCTATGATAGTTGGTAAGTACAAGATTTAGTAAAGATTGTGTAAAAATAAATCGAAATGCAAATGGTTAGCTTGAAGTTCAAAAAGGTTCAAGATCATTGCATGCCACAGTAGACGAATTTCACATAACTGCACATAACACATAACTTCAAAAAAGTCAAGTTATCTCCCGTTGTGGACGTGACATTCAGTAAACAGGCGCAGATCCAGATTTTTTTTTCGGAAGGGATGGGGGTCACACCTAAGTAAAAAAAAATACAGTCCAAGATTTCCTGAGAAGCAAATTTAAAAAAAAAATAAATGAAAACAATGATGATTGGCTCTGTTTTTTTTTGGGGGGGGGGTGTCCAAAGTCATTCTTTTTTATCTTCAGTAAATAGTCTTATTTGAATATCTGCATATTCCGGAGGGAAGGGGGGTAGTCCGATCGCCCTAGTCACTCCCTGTAACTGAAATGACAATTGATCTTGTGACTCCAAAATAGTAGAAAATTTTTCCATATGACTATATATATATTTTGTTTCTTGTATTTTTTTCTGTTTGTTTGTCCACAGATACTTCCCTGCCCATAAATTTTGAGTGGATTGGGCTATACACATGGCTTCCACATTTTAAAGTTAAATTCCTTTTGACAAAACCTTTAACTTGGGTACAACCAATTTTGACCTCTTGATCTCTTGACGTTGGAGTTTGACACATTAATACAAGAAAAATACCTTAAACCTGGCCTAAGTTTTGAACAGTTGGTATTAGGGCTTCCATGCTTAACATGTGTATTCATTGTGAACTTTCAACGGGTATAATATTTTTGAAGAAAGGCTTGGAAGGTTTTACATTTTAACATAGTTCGATAGTCATTATAATTACGAGTAAAATGATATACAGCACAGCTACTATCTCTTTTGCTGATTAGAGGTATTACTAAAAATAGCTTAGTTTACACCTGAGAGCTCGAACAGAAAATGGCTGTATACCGGAAGTGACGTGTGTGAAGTCACAAGTGTGACATGGTATTGATCAATGTCGAAGGAAAGAATAGGTAAATTTTACTTTGCAGCGCGGGATGCACATCACACATAAAGATAATGTCCTTACACGATTTTCCCATGGAGAATAGACCAGATGGCCGTCGGCAATGATTAGTTTTGTTAAAACTAGACCCTTAAACGGAAATATTTCACCAGTCTCAGTCCTACTACATAGAGTACGATAGAGTACTTTAAAGTAAGCTATAAAAATGTTATAATTGATTGCAATTAAACTGCTTTTTTGTATGATTTTCTTCTTTAGTCTAACATAGTAAATATATATTTTTGATAAGATTTGCATGTTTTCCTTATTTTACAAGTTATTTCAGGCACGAAGCAAAAGGGGGGGGGGGGTGCCCCTTGATTCTACTAACATTACGTTTACTTTTAGAAATGTCCATTTAAAGGCTGGTTGGCCCCTCATTTTATACTGCACGAAATTGGATTTTCAAGCTTGAGTGATTTTTTTTTTTTTGCTTGTCAAGTTTTCAGGTAGGTCAATCATTTTTTTTATATGGCACCCCCTCCCCCCTTTCAAAATCGATGAGCATTGCGTGGCTGTATTTCAGTCTTTGATTTCAGGTTAATGTTGATCGTTTGATTCTAATCCTAATTTAATTTTTAACTTGAAATGTTTCATTGTAAATGTAAAAAATATTGACGTTATGCAATTAATTTAATTTTTGATACCAGTAAATAAAATTTAGTTGAAATTACTGTAAATCACTTTTTAATTGCGAGAACTTTATTTCCGCGTAATGACGCGAGACAGTGTGCTCGCGAAAATTTAATTCTCGCGTATAATAGTTTTCCTTAAGATTATATAGATCAATAACCACAATTCGCGAAAATTTTGTCTCGCTAATCTAGAGTCAATGACTACCTCGCGAAAATAAGGTGTCGCGAAAATCTAGTGATCTACAGTAGTAAGTCTGAAACAAAACAGTAATCGATATTGGGGTGTTAGTAATCTTTAATGCATAGAATGATTAATGTTGTGTTCTTGCCAAAATATCGCTAAAAACAAATATTTGAGGCACATATTGAAAATATTACATTATTATTATATGACAATCAGGAATCCACTTGTATATACAGCAATAAACAATCCAAATGCATTAAATAAATTACTTAATTTCTTTAATAATGATTAAGAGGTCTATCGGTATGGAGTTAAAGAAAGTCAATTTGCACCTCGATGCAGTGCCCACTTTTCATTTCTCTGGAACACTGAATCCTTTTATGAAAGTAGAGATCTTCCTCAGACTTATGTGCACCAACAACATTGCGTCCTTCGCAACAAAAGAAAATGCTATTTGCTTTTCTTAAAAGGAAAAGTTTTTGGATAAGTTTGAAAATCAAAATGCTTAAATAAATATAATTATTTGCAACAGCCTTGTTTACCACTTATCGTCAGCAACGGGTTTTTTTTTCTACTTTCGTTTTTAAAAAATGCACTTCCAATTTTGATATAATTATTTCTAATTTACTCAATAATTATTTATGTTTGATATCTTTTAAATGATAACACTGAATGTTGTTGCATGCACTGAATAAACAAAACAGCTATTCTAGAATTAACACAGATTTCGGCAATTACATTTTATTTTTAAAGCTACATGTACTAATCAAAGCATCTATTTTTTTCAAACAAGATTAAAAACAACTGGTTTAATTTTATTTCAATAAAAAAAATTGTCAATGAAAAGATCAAAACAAATTTTTGAGTCGGGCTAATTTCGTAGGTCGGTCGGCTAAAGACAAACGAACAATACTTTATTTTCGCCTTGCTAATTGTCTAAAGGCTGTGTATCTGTATATTTTCTGAAAACTTGTTTATCCTTTATCAAGTTATTTATGCTTAAAAATTTGATTTATAATAGTAGAATGTAAACTTGTACTAAAATATGTTCCCAAACTCCGTTTGGGGAACATAATTTGAAGACATCTAACTCCACAATCAATGGTAAACTTTATAGACTGATTCTGGTATTGTGTATCCATATGAAATGTAAAGATTGGAAAGATAATTCTGAATCATGATTTGTAGTAAGGTGCATGTAAGAAATATTGAACATTACTCTAAAGAATTGTAAATGTGTCCCCATCCTGCAATTTATATTCCTGTTTCAAACTGCCTCAAGTACAGGTTACGGACACTACAGGGTTTTTTTAGTGTCCGTAACCACATTGGTGATGATAACAGAGAAACAGCGCTGATGATCAGGAAAATTACAACACATCTCAGTATCTATATGAGATGCCTATCTAGGAAATTAGTTAAGATATCTATAGAGCCTTCCAATTTCACAGGATTAAAGTGGTTACGGACACTGCAGTTTTTTTGCAAAAACTTTTTCCCTGTAAGTAACAGAGCATTAATACTGTGATTTTAGACAGAAATCTGCGAAAATAAATGATATGGACATTATTTTTATGTGGCATAATGAGAGGGGTAAAATTATGTGAAAAATTTATAACAGTGCACCCCAATTACATTTTCTTTCATTTCTCCAAAAGTTGTTATTCAATCCTGGAAATTCCCCACATGACGTCTATAATTAGAAAAAAATGCCTAAATGAAAAAGTGAAAAGTTCAACACTACCCCGGGGATAATTAATTTCAGTTTGTAATAATAGTTATGTAAAAACATCTCTGTGCCGTGAAAAGTGCTGCTAGAATCCTACTGTCCTGCTGAAAATTCAAGCACCAAAATAATTTGTAAAAATAAATTCTAAAGTCTGATAATGATCATTGGCATGAAATTTATGAAATTTAATAATTATTTCAATTGAAAAATGCTGTAATTTCAAAGCGCAACCCCATAACCTGAAAAACGGTCATTTTGGGGTACTTTTTTGCAGTAACGTAAATTCTGTTAAGGCTAGACCAACAAAATTTTGCACACAAGTCCTTTATAAGTATGCCTATAAATGAATGTTGATAAATTACAAGTAAAGAAAATATCATTTTTAAAAATCATGTATAACAACGTGGTATTCTTAATGCGCCCTAATATTGTGTTTCACCCGTTCTTTTTTAAATGTAAGCAAACTTCTTGCCACTTTAAATTTGCGATTTTGCTAACAAAAAACATTTTCTTTTAATCTGACACAAGAAAAATTGAACAAAAACTTTACAGTGTCTGTAAATTTGGAAATTTATTAAAGGCATTGTCTGGAATGGTGGTTATCTAGTTGCTACCTAGGTTTCTGAAATGATATTTAACAACTCTGTCAAATTTACACTCTTTGTATTTGATAACACATTTATAAAAATAACTAGCTGTGATAAGCACTAAATGGAAATATATCATATCTTAGTTGAAACTATTTATTAATTCATTTATTGTATATTTATGTGCTTATGTTCACTTTCGTCATTTATCTGGTCAATAAATGACAAGTTCACATCTCTTCTCTATTGGTTCAAGGAACAGGAGCGTACAAGCTACGGAAAACCTTTTTTATTTTATAAGATTTATTATTATTGGTGGAAAAGTTGTGGATATAAAAATTTATCTCATACGAAAGACTCGCTTACTGTATAGGGGGAAAATAACTCGCGGTGTTAATATTCGCTATATTCACGGTGTTAACAGATCCGTGAATTCAAGAAACAGTGAATAAATTTTCAATAATCTCCATGTTTTATTTGGAAATTTGAGAATAGACTACGATAGATTTATAAAGGTGTACGTGCAGTCCATGGTCATTTCAGTAATTGCTAGTAGTACTGTCATTCAATTAATTCTAATTATCACGCTTTACTTGAATTCAAATCGGCAGATAATAATGTGTATTTGTTCAGAAGCTTTTTTAATAGCCAACGCTACATGTTTTATCAATCAAAACACGTGGGTCATGGGTTTTGATTACCCGTGCGTAACTAATGTTACCACGTGTATTTGTTACCTGCATTCTCATGCATATTAGTTCATGTAGTTTTTATCGACATTTTGGTTTAAAAAAATCATTCAAATAAATATCGAACTTACTGACGAAGGAAGTGTGGAAGGATATTATTTCGTACATTGTAGAACTACATGAAAAGTTTTATTTCCGTCCAGTGGTTTTTTCGCCGCGTTGTATCGAAGATCTCGGGTGCACATGCACTCATCGTAATAGGAACGTTTAGGGACTATTAATAACTGCACTTGTGTTAATTAATTATTTATAAAATCTAACAATTTTATAATAACTTAGCCTGTTGTTCGTGAAATAAAGACATAACGCTGATTAATGTCGTTTACTTGTAGCTATGGTATGGATTAAATGGAGACAAGGGAAGTAACTTTTATTACATACCAAATTCCGCGAATTCAAGAAACCGCGATCGTGTCAGATGAGAGAAAAACGTGAAAATTACAATCCGTGAAATTAATCCCCTATACAGTATTTAAAAGAAATGTTTTCGTTTATCAAGGTACCTGTATTGGTAACTTCAAGACGGATATTATCCCCCACCCTTACAATAAACCGTTTTTGGAGAAAGTAAAGCCTAGCAGTTATGTTGTTGTTATATGTTCTCCAACAATAATTTCTTACATTTGACTACGTATGCCTACCTAGTAATGCAGGTGCAGCTTACCATGGTTCAACAATTAATTTACAAGTAGCCTTGCCAGCACGTTTTGTACTGCCACCATACAAAGAGTTAATTTTCTCGATCCCATGATCCTTAAAACTTTCAGTCAGAAGTTCGTGTGATATCAAGCTCCAGCAATGGTCACATAATGTTTTCAATAACGCAGATAACATTTTTTTTTTAATTTTTAATACGATCTACTTTCTTTCAAGGCATGTCAACATCAACAGTGATACGTCATCAATTCGAATAAGAAATCATTCATGTAGTTTCACAGGAGAAGTCTAAAATGTCGTGTTAAAACGAAAGTCGTGTGAGATAAAATGAACATCTATAATTGTGTGATTTGATAATGGCTTTATCCGACGAGTTGAAATGGTGTATATTCTCTCGGAAAGCCTCGCGAATATATTCACCATTTCAACTCGTTGGAAAAATCACATCACACAATATAGAAATCCTTCATATATCTCTTTTTATCCTTCTTACTAAATGATAATTATAATGAATAAATGTAGAAATATTCATCGGTGTACGTTACATATAGTCAGTTGTAATGTTTGGCGTCAGCACACGAATTATTAGATAAGCACTTCTTATTACCTACATGTGAAAGGACAATATCCATATGATTTCAGGAACCTGTTTGACTTCTTGATTTTATCTTACAAAGTGCAATTCCTCTCAATAAGATCAGAAAATAAGAGTCGTCGGTTATCCCATCATTCTCAGAAAATAGGATTTGATTCTAAGTGATGTCATACACGATGTCATAGAAGGTGAAATTGATAAAATTCGCAGCACAGTTAAGGTTACAAAAGGGAGGCGGAGCCTAATTTGTACGGGAAATCTTGACTATGACATCATACACAATAAACGTCATACAAAATTTCTTTAAAACACCACAAAATGAGTTTATCTGCTAATTTAACCAGTAAGAAATCATCAAACTACATAAAAACTTACTACAGCGTGTTGTTTTATCCTTAGTTAAATCCCACATAACAAGTTATAAAAAAGTTACTGATCGCAATACACTTGTCAATATGACGTTATTTCTTACAAAGTGACGTAGTTTGTATGCAGTGAGAGACAGATCAAGTAATTTTCTCAACAAAATGTGTATTCTCTAATTAAATGAAATATTATTTACAGATATTCTATGGGGCAATAACTTGAATTTAATGTCTTCTTTACTATTTTATTAACATATTTTCTGTACATTATGTATTTAATTGACACTGCCGTATATTTTTATGCAAATACATTGGAGGGTAATGTGGGGGGGGGTCTTAATATATCGATCTAGTGCAAGGGCATACACTCTATGGATCAAAGTAAGTTTTTACATTTCAACTATAGAACTATTAAGGTATCTGAAAAGTGCTGCGATCCTGATGAAAAAAAAAATTAATTATATCAATATTTCATGCCGCTGACCAGCAAAAAATATAGCATTCGGTCATACAAGTATAATTTTAACAATGAAATTGCAGAATTTAGACAGGATCGCAGCCCTTTTTAGAAACTATAATGCCTGTTGAAAATATTTATATGCTAAACTTGGAAATTTAACTTGGTTGTGCCCTTGCACTAGTGACATTTATATGTAACATCAATACATCAAGTCAATGTGCTAAAATCGCGTGATTGCCGCATCACGTGACTAGTCTAAATATAAAATATAATCGTCCTCGATATGTAGTTATTAATCATAATTACAATTATCCGATATAAATACATGTAATGTACTAAAAATAATCGCCATCCCGATTACGAATACAGTTTTAAATACAAAATTTAGTCGATATTTCCATTGCGCACCTTACCTGTGCTGCATTACCAATCCCCTAATTGTTATTTTTCTTCAGTTGTAAAACACTTTTTCATTCCAAAAAAGGAAACATTCCTAGCTACAAAACATCTGTCTATATTTACAAAGTTTACAGATTTCATGCATCAGTATAAAGTACACTTTCAGTATATAAAATCTTATATAGAACAGCTTGTTCTTCATGTTTTGAAAGGAAAAATTAAATAAAAAAAATGTTATCTCATTAAAACTGAGGAAATGTTGTAAAAAACTTAATTTAACAACATTTCGTGGCCCCCATGTATGCTTTAAACAAAATTAATGCTGATTAAATCACAAGCATCATTAATTTTCTTGGTTGCAAACTATAACCTGTGAATTGTGTTTATATCATTTAATGTGATTTCAATATATGCTTATTACATGTAAGTATCACATTCTGATTAGCACGCATTTTCTGTCGATGTTTGAGAGCCATGTTCGGGTGTTGTTTTTTTTTAATGAGTTTAAAGGGGGAGGAAATAAGCACCTCCTTCAAATTTACCTGGTCTTAGAACCCCTGTCAATCATCTGAAATTAAGCCTGGGATTGGATACTTTGATTTGATTGACATTTAGTTTGCTGCTGTTGTGTATATCTTTGTACCTTGTCTGGAGATCGTACCGACCATCGAATTAACTTTCAGGCTTTTGATGCCTACCGCACTGTATGCCAACGTGACGAAGAAGCAATCAAATCGTTCTTTTCTTATTTTAATTCATAAGAATATGCCATAAATATAATCAATCTATCAAATAATTAAATAAATGACAAGAAAATCATGGCTATAGAATATATATTTTAAATTTATTTTTAAAAGGGAGGATTTCATATCACGATTACAATCGAAAAATTTTAATTTCCGTGTCAAAACATGAGTTAACGTATATTTATTCCTCCATTAATTAACAAAACAAACCGACCTGCGTTTGAAGCTAGTATCATGGAATTAAATAAAATTAATTTTTAAAACAAGTATGACAACATTGTAACATTGTTCATGAGTCAAGCGAATTTATATTTATAAGACAAACCTGTAATTGTCGCTTTTCTTCGAGACATGGTGACGTAGTTACGGTATAAGTTTTAGAAAAGAAATTACTCGGAATATAACATCTTGCTTTGTATTTAATGTTTGAAATTAATGATGAATCCCGAAAAAAAAAAAAACGATGCAGATGATTCTTTTCCCGTTTCATAGCTGTCGGGGAATCAACCGACCATGCGTTATGGAGAATTCAAGTAGGGTTTATCTTAAAAAGATATTTATTTAGACAATAATATTTCTACCTCAACATTTTATTCACAAAACATCGTTTCTAAGTTTTATTGTTATTTACCGAGAGACTGTTTTATGATTCACTTTCTTAATTCTTTCGTTTTGCGTAGACGACGTGTAATTTGAATTACTTCCCTTTTTGTCGCCAGATTACAACGACAGATTTTGGTGCTAAATGTATTTTCGTTATAACACTTCATTTAGAAGCACACTGTATATAAATATGTCAAATTATTCAAAATATCAATTATTTTAAAAGAAAGAAATTGAACAGGATTCTGTCTGCAACAAAAAATGCTTTAGTTCGCATTTCAATTCATGAGCTAAACATGAAAAAAAAACGGCCTCGGTTTACAAAGTCGTAGGAAATCGCATACAGGTAATACACTCAGGGGCTCAGGTAACATCCTGTGTATATAGGTAGTATACACAAGCCAGCGTCGTTCCCTCGGGGCTTCTCAGCCACTTCGATTAAGCTCCACCCCACTCCAAAC